GGGCAGCGAAGGTCATGCTGCGGCATGCATTCTACATCGGTGCCATGGTGGCGACCCCTGCTTCCCGAGTTGTCACCTTGTTTTACGCCACCAGGTGGCGCCTTCTGCCAACAGTTGTTTGGCTGAAAAGGAGAGAAGTTCACTCGGACCCAGACGGATTCTGAGGCCACCGAGTCTGGATGCTCTGCCCCTTCCCCGTGGCAGCGTTCGGGCTTAGAGCGCCTCGTTCCCTGAGAGTCTCACGCGTGTTGTCTGGAGGGGTCTTGTCCTTTCGTGTCCTCTCTAGCTCATTAGTGGTGATGGGAACTAGCATGCTATAGCGCAGTAGGGTTTGCAAAGCGCTCTAGGGATCCCTCATTCGGTGAGCTCTATTTTACTGGTGAGGAAACTGAGTCTTGGGTCTTTAACTGTAACCCGGGTCACCCTCTCCCCTGCATCGCCCTCGCACATTCCTCCCCTCTACCCTGCTCCCCTGTTGGCCAGAGCCAATTGATCCGCTGGCTGGGTGGAATCTAACCAAGGTCTTCTGGGTTCCATTTGACTGCCCTCTGCCCACTTCTCGGGTGGGCAGGCAGGCATCCTGTCTCAGGGCCCTCTGCCCACTTCTTGGGTAGGTAGACATCCTTATTCAGCTGCCCTCTGCCTACCTCTCGGGTGGGCAGGCAGGCATCCTGTCTCAGATGCCCAGTTCTCTCCTTATCACTTCAGCCCACCTGAGACGGAGCCTGGCCAAGGTGGTGGTCAGAACTCTTAGGATGGGAAAGTCTTTTCTTACAGTGCTGGGGGTAAGAAACTTGGGCCCTATTGAATCCTTGCACTGCTCCAGCGGCGTTGACGTTCACTAGGCAAACCCAGGAGAACCACATCCAGCCCCCTCTCCTGCTGGGCTCCAAGAGATGCTGATTAGATCGAATTTAATAACGACTGTAAGGCCTGGGGCGAAGTGGCGTTACTGTTCAGATTGACACGCGTGGTGCAGTTTAATGCGGGGATGTTGTTTTAACTATCGGGGGATGGCTCTGTCCTTATTTGAGACTTCCTTCTAAATCAGTGCCTTCCATGACAATTAGATCTTGGTACTTTCATCCCCGTATGCATTGCAGTGACGTGTTTTGCTCTTGGAAAAGACTCAGGATGAAATCTTGAAATATACGCTGATTTGCCTGTTTGGTTCAAATTAATCAGCTGAATTTGGCTCACCTGAATTCTGGGCTTTCCCTGGACTTTCCCATGCACACTGCTGCTTGCAAGATCACCCTGAAGCCCAGATACTTGGATTGACCAAAGCCTCATCCATTTGGGAGCTCTGTGGAAGGAGATGGGGATCGTGGCGGCCTCCTCCTCTCTGAGCCAGGGCTTCCTTCACTCCCCCCGACTGCTGAGAAATCTTCCCAGAACGGATGAGCCTGGGTCCAGATCTCTTGGAAAAGACAAGTCCAATTCACCCTTTCTCTCAGTGGTTCAGTGTCATCTTTCTAAGTCAGTTCTGGCCTTGGTAATAAAGTACCGTCATTGTGCTTGTCTGGAAGCAATCCTTCCCTCCTCTGTTGTGTCTCACTCTCCTTGTTACTGAAGAATCAGATAACCCTCCTCGTTGGACTTGTAATAAAACACGGGCCTGCAGGCTGGGTGCTCTGCTTTGACTCAGCCGAGGCTATTTGGGAAGCTTCTGCCTTCTTAAAGTCGTTGATTCTGGATGAAAAATCAGGTTGCTCGGGATGCTGAGCATCAAGATGGCAGGCTGTAATACGTCCGTAGGGGCTTCAGGTCCCTGCAGTGGAAGGGAGCTCCCCATGCCCAAAGCAGGAATTCCAAAGCGCTGCAGGGAGCACCCTGTGTTGTGACCAGGTCCCGTGCCCTTTCGGCCAGCTTTTGTGCTTAGGACGTTTGTGCTTCTGAGGAGGCGTCCGAGTCTGTCGCGGGTCCCTGCCACCCGTTACCTCTGGCTCTACCCTCTAGCAGACCAAGGCCATTCTCTCTTTTAAAAAAGAAGCAAAACATTCTTTTAACGTTGGGAACTGAATTGAACAGGAAAGGGGAGATTGTATAAGAAACTGTAAGTGTCTATTAGTGTTTGATTTTCAAGAAATACATATCTGCATGTATGAACTCTCAGAAGGTAATGACAAAATTTCCCTGTTGATTCCCTTTCTGCCTTCTTCTTTTGTGTGCCTTTAACATTTTTTATTGATTTACTTTGTTTTGCGTATTTCTCACTACCCACTAAGCCACCAACTTTCCTTCCAGTAGAAGCCCTCCCTTTCAACACTGTATAATAGTAAAACAAACAACCGAGGCCCTGGTCCCATCAGGGAACCCCTTCCTTCTTCTGAGCTTCTGGTTCACCCCTCTCTGCTGGACGGCATCTTTCATCTTCAGGAGTCTCAGGAATCGGCTGCCTCGGTCACAGGGCGGATGTCCTGTTTTCCTTCACGTTATTATTGTGATCATCTCTCAGACTGGCGTCTCAGTCGCGCTGTTTTCACTCTGAGTCAGGTGATGTGAGTCTTCCTGTGTTTTTCAGCATTTTCAAAGTTTCTTATGGTGCAGTAACTTTCTGTGACATTTCTATGCCAGTTGCTTAGCTATTCTCTGGTTTGTGGGCACAAAAATGTGCTCTCACGCGTCCTCTCCTCCCTGTGATCCTTCCCCTTGGTGTCTGGTCTCCCTCAGGCATGTGCCCAGTGGCAGAATCACTAGCGGATGGCAAGTATGGTTTAGTGACTTTAGGGCAGAGTCCCAGATGTTTTCTGGAAGGATTGGATCAATTCACAGATTCTGGCCACACATTCAGGGGCCTGTCCTCTCTGGACCCTCGTAAGGAGTGGCACTTCTCTCTGGCGACCTTTATCAGTCTGATCAATGTGAATTAGAACCTCAGAAGTGCTTCTGTTCACATTTCTCTGATAGTGATTTTGAACATTTTCTGTAAGGTTTTTGATGGCTTTTGTGTCTTTGGTTGAGAAATGTCTATTCCTGTCCTTTGATTACTTATCTGTTGGACAATGGCTCTTGTTCTTACATGATGTGTCAAGTCAGACCTTGGTCAGGGAAATTTGCTGCAAAGATTTCCCTTGATTAGCTGTTTCCCATATAATCCTATCTGCATTCATTTTGGTTATATAAAAACTTTAAAAATTTATGTAATCAGTATTGTCCGTGATCACCTCTATCACTTGGAGAATTAGCAGTTCTCCCCCTTGGTAGAGTTGTGAAAGGTTCCTTCTTCCTTTCTCCTCTGATTTTTTTTTTTTAAATGATATCAGCTTCTACATCTAGGCCATCTCTCCATCCATTTGGAGCTTCTTTTAGTGTGTGGTATAGGATGCTGGTCTGATCTTGATTTCCACCAGATGACTTTCCAGTTTCTTCAGCAGCTTTTGTCCTATGGGGAGTTGGTGCCATCTAGTTTATTGAACACTGTGCTGCTCTCTTTGGTTGTTTCTGCATCTCTCTCTCTCTCTCTCTCTCTCTCTCTCTCTCTCTCCCCCCCTCTCTCCCCCTCCCTTCTCCTTCTCTCTGTCTCTCTCTTCTTTCTGTCTCTGTCTCTGTCCCTCTCTCTCTCTCCCCTCTCTTCTCTATCTCTCTCTCTTCCTCTCTCTCTCTCTCTCCCTCCCTCCCTTCTTCTCTCTGTCTCTCTGTCTCTCTCTCTCTCTCTCTCTCCCTCTCCTCTCTCTCTCCTTTCTCTCTCTCTCTCTCCTCTCTCTCTCTCTTCCTTTCTCTGTCTCTCTCCCTCCCTCCCTCCCTTCTTCTCTCTGTCTCTCTCTCTCTCCTCTCTCTCTCCTCTCTCTTCTCTCTCTCTTCCTCTCTCTCTCTCTCCTCTCTCTCTCTCCCTCCCTCCCTCCCTCCCTCTCTCCGTCTCCCTCCTCTCTCTCTCTTTTTAAACTTAATCTCTTTCCATTGATCAGCGTTTCTACTTTTTAACCAGTTGCTGCTTTGTAGCAGCCTCTACGCTGTCTTCCACACTTGAGCCCGTCAGCTAACTGAGGGTCTGGCTCACGCCCCCTTCCTTCCAGCCCAAGCTTCTTTTCCTTCCTCCATCCTGCACCTCATCTGCAGGCGGTCTGGGATGAGGTCTCTTCCTCACCCACTTAGCTGGGTGCTTTCCGGTCTGTCCTTTCTCAAGTGGAAATGATTTCACCTGCAGTTTTCTCCGTGTTTGCATAGAACCTTCCATTCAAAGGTCCAGTAAGAATCGCAAATGGACTGAATTTTTGCACAGAGTGCTCCTGCTCCTTGATTGAATATTTTCCGGTTGATGATTCACGAGCTCCTCAGAACGTGTTCTCTTCTCCAGGTGCACTGTTTCTGGGAACTATTAGCATTTTACTGAAAATTTGGGAAGCCGCGTTGTGAAGCTCTGGCCTGGCTGCTGGGGCAGGACGCCAGTAAGAGCAAGGCCGGCAGTCTGCAAAGGACTTAGCCATCGCCCTGTGCGCCTGTTTCTCATCGGGAGCTCCCGTTCTCCATCATCATCCTAGTTTGTGTGAACGAAAGGGGAACACGCTCACAGGGTCATTAGTCACAGTGTAGTTTTTTGGTGGTGCAGGGAAGGGTGGATCTATGATTTCATTGGTGTGGGAGCTTTTGGGGAGCTGTTCCTTATTCTGGGCCATACAGGTCCCCTCTCTGTGGCCTTGGGTCAGTCACTCGCCCCTCTGAGTGACTCAGGGGCTGATTTGTCTTCCGTCTTTTGTTCTGGCTGTCTGTGGTTGGGGGGGCCCTCTTCTGCAGATGGTGGAATGCTGTATGACTGTTGGGGAAAAACGTCCTGTGTCCTTCTGCCCAGGAGGTGCCGTCCGGCCTCTGCTGGAAGAGTTGGGGTGAGGGAGCCCGCTCCTAGCGCCCTTCTGTTGGGTGCGGCTGCTTTGATGCGGGATGTAGTCTGTGGCCTTGTAGTTTGGTCGTTGGGGGCGCGGCACGCCTAATTCTTCCACGCTGGCACTGAGTTGAGTTTCACAGTTGATCGCCTATAAAGATTGTTTCTCCTTTCCATCCAGGCTTTTGCTGGTGGGCGGCTGTGAAACCGATGAAGCGAGCACCCCGACAGCCCGGGCCTGGGGTCTCTCTGCTTGGAGAGTCTTGTCCGGATCGCCCTATTACAAGCCGGTCAGCAGCAACGGGGATGGCCTTGCCGTGGTAAGTGACAGCAGCCGGGCGCGCTGGTCTGGCCGGGGTCTGCGGCCCGCCAGCGCTCTGTGGGACCCTGCACCGGGAGCGGGAGGGGGCTCAGGAAATCTCAGTTGTGTCGTTACGTGTCAGGCTGAATCAGAGGATGCCGTATTAACGGAGCCTCGTCTTTATCGGGCGGCTGCCAGAAATGATGGCAATCGAAGGTTTCCACGCTGCTTTGGGGGAGTTTATTCCTTGTTCCCTATTTACGGGTGACCGCCAGCAGCTCAGTCCTGTGTGCTGTGGTTAAACTCGCCCCCTCCCAACTTTAGGAAGAGGAGGATATGCTAAGCTGATGTGCCGGCCTGCGGTGATTCATCCCGGGCGGGTCACGCTGCTTGGGCTGTGGGTCCTGGGCTGTGTAGGAGGCAGAGGCCACGGGCGGCAGGGTGAGCCCCCAGGCCCTTGGGGTGAGCTGCCCAGGTGCTGATCTAAGAAGTGGAACGCTCCGTGGCCACGTTTGGCTTCCATCCTTGGGTTAATCCACGAGCACGTGTTAGGAGGCGGCTGTGTGCCGGGGAGGGGGGAGGAGGGCAGGCCCGAGACAACAGCCGCCTTGCCAGGCGGTCACGCTCTGATTCAGTCAGACCGTCTTGTCTACGTCATTCTGTGCAAGCGTGTTGTTAGGGCCTCACCTTGGTGGCTGGTTCACATCACTGTTGGCAGACGCCTGTGCCCTTTTCAGTGTGGACGGTCCTTTCTCCGGTGCAGATTGCAGCCCTCCTACGGCTTAGTAGACACACTTGAGGCCAGCTCTCCAGCTTAGGGCTCATCCTTGAGCTGCGAGCCCCAGCCTGGAGACGGAATGCCCTTTCTTAGCCCTGTCCAGAGAGCAGAGCAGGCAGAGGAAGTAGGATAATGAAGCTTTGTAAGGCCTTGGAACCTCCTGGTTCAGGGAAGCCGGGTGAGGGGTCTCTTTCTGGAGGGTTTGAGAATGGATGAACGGGCTACAGACATTGGCGCAATCAGCTTAGTCATCAAGCATTTATTAAACACCTACTGTGTTCCAGGGCAGCTAGGTGGCACAGCGGATAGAGTGCTGACCCTGGAGTCAGAGGATCTGAGTTCAAATTTGAACTCAGACGCTTACTAGCTGTGTGACCCTGGGCAAGTCACTTACCCCTTGTTTGCCTCAGTTTCCTTACCTGTAAAGTGATCTGGAGAAAGAAATGGCAAAGCACTCCGATACCTTTGCCCAGAAAACCCCCCATGGGGTCATGGAGATTTGGACATGACTGAAACAACTGAACAATAAAGTGTGCCAGGCATAGTGCTAAGCACTGGGGATACAGGAAAGGCCCAGGGCAGCCCCTGCCCTCGAGGAGCTTCCAGTCTGGTGGGGGAGACAGTGAGCAAACACCTCTGTGCAAACAGGCTGTTGCCAGTGTAAATAGGAGACCATCAGCAGAGGGAAGGCTGGCCCTAGGAGGAAGAGGGGTGAAGTCCCTGGCACCAGCCACCGTCACCAGGGCTGAGCCACGCCTTCTCCCATGGCACCTGCCACTGTCAACAGGGCTGAGCCATGTCTTCAGTAGTGCCACTTGTCTCCAGGGCTGAGCCATGCCTTCTCCCATGGCACCTGCCACTGTCAACAGGGCTGAGCCATGCCTTCTCCCGTGGCACCCACCACTGTCGCCAGGGGTGAGCCACGCCTTCTTCCACAGCTTCCTTTGCCAGTCTCAGGGGAGCCTTCGGGTTTGCCCCTGCACGTTTGTGCTGGTCCAGCCCAGGCCTGTGCTAGTTGTGGACGTTTCCTAAGACAGCGTGGAGGTGGCCTTGGAGGTGGCGTGTGAGCTGAATGACTTGAGATGTCCCCTTTAATGACGCGTGCTAGAGTGTGTTTGCAGTGGCGCAGAGTCGCGCCTTCGGTCCTCCAGGCTCCCATCTCCCCAAGCCGGGTGCAACTCTCACCCAGCGCCCCCCCTCAGCTCACAGCCCACCACCTTAGTCCAGGCCCCTTACTTGGTTATGGCGGTAGCTCCGGGGGCCTCCCTGCCTCCAGTCTCTCCATCGTCCCCGCGTCTGCTAAAGTCTGACTCTGTGACCCCTCCACCGACTCCTGTGGCTGCCTGGGACCTAGAACATGAGCTCCGCTGTGCTTCTGGAGCCTTTGTGACGGAAGGCTCCTGGGCCGTCAGGCCACCCCCGAGGGCCCTGAGGGCCCCTCCGTGGGGCCCTGTGCTCTTTAATGAGGGGCTCGAGCCCCAAAGTCTTCTGCTGCCCCCTAAACCACTCCGTGCTTGGCTCCTTTCCCAGGTTTGTATCTAGACGTTTACGTTGTTGTACTCGTCTCCGCGGGACAGAAGCTCCTTTGGAGCAGGAATGGTTTCCTTCTGCTGCTTGTGTCCCACTGCTTAGCGCAGTGCCTGGCACACAGGAGCCACTCGCTAAGAGCTCATTGCTCTATTGGCTTCTGTTTCGTGGGCACCTCCTTCTTGCTCTGCGACAGACCTGCCGCTTTGCGGTGAATTCTTAGTTTCTGGTCCCAGGGGTCCCGGCTTGTTTTCTTCTCCCAGGGTGTCTTTTCTCGCCCTTTGGGTGCATCTAGCTGACTGACTCTCAGGAGTATTCGTAGCTGCTCAGTCCCTTAACCCTGGCCTTCTCAAGCACCGCTCCAAGCCCTGAAGGACTTAACCCTTTCATGGCAATCGATGCTTCCCCTTCTCAGGCCTCCACCAGCCCTCCTTCCATAGCCTGCCTGCTCCATATGGCACCACTCACCGGTCTAGGAATTCCCAAACCCAAATATTTTTTCCTGGCCACATGCCCTAAGTCTTCTCTCCACCACTAGAATGTAAGGTCCTCGAGGGCAGAGACTGATGATAATAATGATAATAGCTAACATTTATATGGAGCTTCCAGATTTGCAAAAGGCGTTAGCAAGAGCTCATTCCATCCTCACTATGGTTCTGGGAGCGGGTGCTATTATTACCTCCATTTTACTGATGAGGCAATTGAGGCTGGGAAGTTAAGTGACTCACCAGGGTCCTAAAGCTGGATTTGAATTCAGGTCTTCCTGGACTTTTGATCCCGCTCTCCACCTCTATCCACTGTGCTGCCCGCCCTCCTAAGCCTCGTTCTAGGTTTTATATTTGCACAGTGTTTGGCACCTCGTAAGTACTTGGGAGGTGGTTTGTCATTCATTCAGCCAACCAGCAGGCATGTATTGAGCTCCTTCTGTGTGCTAGACGTGCAGGGATCATGAAGGATCCCTTCTTCTAAGCAGGGACAAGTGGCCCAGTGCTTCCAATAGTGCCTGCCTGGCACCAAGAGGGCCCTGAATGATGGTGCTTGTTGACTGACTGAGTGAGGGAGGGAGGGAAGGAGAGAGGTCTATCCTTTTATGTGAAATGAGCACATGAAAAATGAATAACTGGTAATTATTGGGGCGAGGCCTTACTGGCTGGGGGTGTCAGGGTTGGAGGGGCTCCCAGGGCCCTGGGCCAGCCCTTCGCCAAACCAGTAGTCCCTCCCCTTCTGCCTGGCGACCTCCTGGGAGCTTGGAAGCTGTGCTTCTTGACAGAGCGCTCTCAAGGGGAGGATGTCAGCCAGTCAGTCAGTGAACACTGATTAAGCACCTGCTGTGTGCCAGGCAGTGTGCCAGCCCCTGCCCTCAAGGTGCCCACTGTCTAAGGGGAGACCAGGTACACACAAGGTAAGGACAAGAGGAACGGGGCACAGCCTGCCACGTTTCCCAGTCGAGGTTGGGTGAGGTGGAGAGAGGCGGCCTGGGAAGGAAGGCTGCGCCCAGCCCTCGCAGCCTGGTGAGTCCCTCTCTGGGGTCAGGCTGCCTTGGCCTTCCCAGAGGTGCCAGGATTACCCCAAAGCCGGGGCAGCCTTGCCCAGAGCCTTCTCCTGTGAATCCTGTGCCAAACCCGTGACATCTAAGAGCCTCGAGTTTGAGAAGGTCTTGTGAAATGATACCCGGTGTCTGGGAGGCAAGGAGCAGCCGGCCTCTGGGCACATGCTTGTCGGCTTGACCTGTCTTTGTCTGGGCTGCCACCCTTGCCCTTGGTAATTTTTGCTTTTGTTTTCTAGGTGCCAAAGAGACTGGGACTGTTGAGGATTTTTAATGTGAAGCTTTACAGCCGACAGGGTCAAGAGCAGGTAATGCACAGGGATATAAACAATGTCACATTCTCACATTCTTTTGGGAGAAACGTCAGGCTTTGACCCCGACGTATCAGGTGTCTCCCAGGGAGACAGCACCATGGTCGCCACTGTCCTTGCTCTCAGAGCCCTGGCTTGGTAGCCCCTGATCTGCAAAGGAGCACAGCCCCTGGGGCTCGGTGTGCTGGCCGGTGCCCATGGGGCACTGCCCTGCCCAGGAGGAGGGGAGACAGGAAGCCCCCGGGGGCAGCGCCATCCTCCGGAGATCTCTTTGTGGACGTCTGTTTGTCCCCTATGCTGGGGATGCTGGTGCCAGTCCATTGCTGCCTCCAGTGAGCCTTCACCTGAACTTCCCAAGTTGGTGGGCGCCTGTCGTCCTCTCGCTCTTCTGCTGATGTCCGCCTTGCTCAGACCTCTTCCATAATTTCTTGGCCCTGATGCCAAAAGAGAGCCAAGGCCTCCCAGGAGAGACCCTCCCCAGGCTTGAAGCAAAGGGGAGCCCCCTGCCAGACCATCTAATTCCTTTTGCATGGACCAGACTTGGAGAGGACTGGGTCTGGAGTCAGAAAGACTCATCTCCCTGTGTTCAAATCTGGCCTTAGACACTCACTAGCTGTGTGACTCTGGACAAGTCACTTTACCCTGTTTGCCTCACTTTCCTAATCTGTAACGTGAGCTGGAGAAGGAAATGGCACACCACTCTAGTGTCTCTACCAGTAAACCCCCCCATGGGGTCTTGAAGAGTCAGACTGTTGAAAAATGACAAAATAACTACAACAACTAAGGGGAATGCCCAGCCACATTTCAATCCAGTGAATATCACTTTGAATAAATAAATCCCTTTAAATTTGAGCTCCCCTTAAAATGTCTTGCTTTTCTAGTACAGATTTCAGATGCAGGAGCAAAGAGGAGGATGTAATTATTTACTTTCCTTACAAATGCTAATGCAGTTTGAGGGATTCTGGTTTAAAAGTGGCAGGTTCCTCTTTATTGTGATTTGCAGGAGATTAAAGAATTCATTTCCTCCCATTGCCCAGAGGGCCCTGCCTTTCTCCGGGAGGTTTGCTGTGTGAGTGGGCCTGGGTCCTCAGTGCAGCTGCTGCCTGGCCTGGCCCGGCTCCCCCATCCCCCCCATCGACCCCCCACTGTGGGATCCGTGGTGCCTGCAGGTCCTTGGTGGGGAGATGGCTGGACCTGGAGTCGGGAAGGCTTGAGTTTGAATCCTCCCGTAGGCCCTTCTCAGCCGGAGGCCTCGGGGCTGCATCAATTAGGGCATAGCATCAGTGGGGAGGAAGCGATGTCCGTGTCCTTGGCCTTTTCAGACCCCTTCAGAGGATTGGATTCTGTTCTGGGTATCACAGTTTAACAACAGCCTTGATAGCTGGAGAGGGTCTGGAGGAGGTAGGCAGGATGGTGGAGGCCTCGAGGCCCTGTCTTCTGAGTGTTGGCAGTGATGAGGTCTAGAGGTTTAGGGATGCTGGGACCCCGAGATCATGACACGCGGGCCCTGCCTGAATGAATTCAACCCAAATCTTCTTTTAGACAGAGAAAAAGTTTATTAGAGATAAACCATACAGGCCAGACTCTTAAGAAATCTGAATATTAGTAACGCCCATAGGGACGAGCGGGCATAAGAAAGTCTCAGCATTTAAATGGGGGCCAGGGTGGATCTTATATACACTTAAGTAATTTTGGGGGACCAGAGGAGGGGCTGGGAAAAGGGTCTAGGTGACTTAGGGAGAATTCTGATTGGAATGTGGAATAGATAATGAAGCTGAGATGAGAGGTTGAATAAGAATAGATAACCTGAAGGGAACTGGAAGGAAGAAGTTTGAAAGGCATCTGAATAAGATCAAAAGGTGGGGCTAGGGCTTTCAAAGGGAGATAAGGAAGAGTAGAAAAGGAACCTTTTGAGACCAGAGTAAGAAAAGTTTTAGGGTTTTCTGGGGCCCATAGACAAATGGGAGCCATTTTCTTTTTGGGGCAAGGGGCAGAGGTCTTAGCTTGGGCCCATACCCCATCAGGCTGATGCCTGAACAAAAGAAGCCTCTGAGGGTCCACGAGTGATGGCTGCATTCATGGGGGTGGAAGGTAGGCCAGTGATCAGAGACTGGCCTCTGTCCCTTTGGGCCCAGAGGGTAGAGCCAGGAGGGGAGGGGGGAGAATGGGAGACTTGGTGTGGAATTTGAGAAAGGTTAAATTGAAAACCAGTCTTAATCTTAATTTTAAACTTTCTTTTTGAAAATATATTTGTTTTAATCATCCAAGATCTACTTTCTTACCCTCCCACCTCAATCCCCCACCACGAGAAGACAAGAAAAACAAAACCTAAAACAAACGTGAATAGTCTCTCTAAGATTTCCACATTGGCTGTGTCTGGTGGGTCTGGCAGTGGGTAGGGGTCTGAGATCTCTCCTAGGGGGCTGCCCTGACCCGTCCCCAGTGTCCGCAGCCCTCCCTGTCTATCTCCCTCTGCTGAGATGGCCTGGAAAACAACCCACTGTGACTTTCTGGATTGCCCTGTTGGGGTCTGGTCTGGTACATTTTCTAAATCTGTTTGGAGGAGGTTTTTGGAGAGGAGCGCGCTGCACTGCTCCTCAATGCTTTGCCATCTTGGCTCTGCCCATCTTAAACTGTCAAATGATAACAACTATCACTTAACATTTTAGTGAAAAAGAAGCGTCCTTCCCACTAGTTCCTGGACTTCCCTGCTAGTTCTTTTTCTGTTTTGATTTTTTTTTTTGTTTGTTTTTTGGTGAGGCAGTCAGGGTTAAGTGACTTGTCCAGGCTTACACAGCTAGTAAGTGTCAAGTGTCTGAGGCTAGATTTGAACTCAGGTGCTCCTGGCTCCAAGACCGGAACTCTATCCACTGTGCCACCTAGCTGCCCCACTAGTTCTTTTTCTTAAAACAGCCTCGTAAGGTCAGTCATACCAGGACGGTGGAATCCTGGGAGCCGAAGAGAAAACTGAGGCTCAGAGAGTTGGTGTGATGTGCTCGGGATGGAGAGCGAGCGGTCCAGGCTCCCTAGCCGTCAGTTCTTGCCGTCTCTCCTGCACAGATTTTTAATGAGCACCATCCTGGGTTGTGTACCCTGGAAATGTCCCCAAAAAGATCGGACAGGTTCAGGCCTCAAGGACCTGAGGGTCTAGCTGTAAATAGAAATCAAAATAATAACCTCTTGTGGAACCTCTTCTGATGCCTGGGAAGGGTGGGAAGATGATGGTGGACTGCAGCCTGGCTGAGGTCCCTTATTCAAAGATGGGGCATCAGGGGTCATGGCTTCTGAACCAGACATAGAAGAGAAAAGAACTTTAAATGGGTTTTATTCGTAGCTTCCTAGCTTATGTAGTGGACTTAATAGTATTGACTCTTCCCCACTCCTGGGCCTGAGGAGCTGCATGGGAAAGCCATCAGGACAGTATGGCCCTGGGAGGCGCGATCTGTATTTGTGGAGGGCACAGAGTGCCTCCAGCTGGGGAATGCTGCCTCCTGGCAGTCATGGTGTGAGTGTACAAAGCCCAGTGCCGGAGATACAGTTGGTGCTTAATAAGTGGTTGTTGATTGGAGATGAATACAGATGCTCCATCATGGCTGTGTCCTAGAGCACAGAAGCATGCCTTCGTGCCTCTGGAACTTTTGGGCTTTGGCTTTTCTCAATATCACCACTTGCCCAGTGACCTTCGTTGTGACTCCTTGAGGACAGAAGCTTACAATCTTCTGAATTCCCCAGTCCAGCCTGATAAGTCCATTAGGCCCCCATTAGGCAGGTGGAGATGGCTGGAAAGTAGGAAAAGTGGAGCTGTGGTTGCCTGCTCTGGACCTTCCTTGACTTAACCCTTATCCCTCCCGCTCTTGGCCAGGATGGGGTCTACAAGATGAGCCTCTCTCCCAATGGGACGATTCTGGCCACCATTCACTTCTCAGGAAAGCTGAGTTTCTGGACCATCCCATCTCTCACACTGCTGGGGGAATGGCGTCAAGAGGAGCAGGTAACTCTCCGCCCTGTGACTCTTCACGGGTCCTTTTCCTGTAGGGGAAGTGTGGATGGAGACACCCATTTTCCATGTGTCTTCTAGGATGAGGGCAGGAGTGGGGGCCGGGAGAAAGACTGAGACCAGGTCTCAGGCTCATTGAGGGAGGGAGGGGAGTGACCTGGAGGTCTGTAGACAGTAGACAGGATTCTGGTTGGGTGGTAGATATGAAGAGCATGACCCTCAAAGGAAGAGAGGTCGCTGAGGGAATGAGGAGGGGGAGAGCCGGGGAGGTCATGGCGTCTTGGGGGGAGCCAGGTTTCCGTCAGAGCTGGGAGATGGAAGGAGGGGGAGAGGGATAGATTTGGGTTCTCTTGTGACACCCACTGGGGGATTTGTAATTGCGTGTTGTGCCAAGGAAAGTTGTTTAGTTGAACCTAGTCAAGGCTTATAGCATCCTTTTGTCACCTGAGCGTTTATTCTTGCTTTCCTCTTTGCCGTGGGCTGGCCATATTCATGTACCTTTTGTGTGAATTTTAGAGGGCAAGAGGGGGGCTTTTCCAGGGTTTGGTCCAGAGTGAGAAGTTCCAAGGAAGTCAGACTCTGACATAAGAAAGGCCACGTTAGCCACCCTAAGGCGGTTTTTAAGGAGACAGGTTGGTAAGGCCTGGAGGCTCGTCCAGCTGCAGCCTCTGTGTGTAATGACTGTCTGATTTTTATTTTTAGCCAGGTTATGATGCAATCAACCCCAATTGGAGGCTCTCCACTGAGAAAAGGAAAAAAATAAAAGGTGAGTTTGTAGAGTTGGAGGTGAGTGGTGTTCAGCCTGTCAGAGCCTCAGGTGCCCTCTCCCCCCAAAAATAAAAAAAAGCTACTATCCAAGGTGGATGGGCACATCTTGGGCTCAGCTGCTAAAGAGAGCTGGTATTCAAGGGTTTCTCAGAGCCTCTGTTACATATACTTGTCAGCAACGTTATGTTTTTTATTTGTGTTTAAAATCTGTAAAGATTCATGTAGATTTATTCAGCAAGACAATTTAACCATATTTATCAAGTACCTCCTCTGTGCCCCAGGGCAACAAAGATTACTAGAGCCCTAGCCCTGCTCATGAGTGGCTCATAGTCTGTTGGGGCAAGGGAGATGGGACTGGGGGTGGGGTGGGCAGGACAAGTAGAGAAACATGATTAGAAAGCAAAGCTGGGAAAGTGGGAGCTGGGGGAGGAGAGGTCCATCAAAGGGGCTGTGAGAAATAGGAGTCATGATGGAGCCAAGATGGCAGAGTGCAGGCCAGGACCCAGCTGAATTCTCCCAACATCCTCCTCCAGGCAACTTTAAAATAACTCCTCAAGTTGAATTCTAGCACGTCAGGGCCAACAAAAGGCCAGCCTAAGACGGTTTAGGAGGTTGGCAGAAGTCTGTGACACCAGGGTAGAGGCCAGCCCAAAGTGTAGTGGCATGACCGGCTGTGGGCCTTAGAGGCGGCTGTTACAGTGGCAGCAGTGGCTTTGGGAGCTCTCAGCCCAGAGATAGTAAGCGGTGTGGACAAGTGGACAGAAAGAGATTACAGGGGACCCTTTGCTGGCACTGGATACAGCTGGCACTGATTGGCACTTATGTTGCCCCTACTCAGTTCTGGGTCACATGTGGTTCTGCTGTGGAGAGGAGTGCTTGTGGTCAGTCACACGGCAGCAAGGGCCCTGCTCTCAGTTCCAAGGCAAAGAGGAGCACTAGCACTTGTGGTTGCAGAAGGGTAGGGGTCCTTCCTGGATAAAGACCAGAGCACAGACTAGGAGAATGAGACTACACCTTTCCCTGGATTACACCCCCTTGGAAGCACTGAAAACTTGCAGACTCCCAGAACTAGCCCTAAGAACAGCGGCACAAAAAATCCTGATGCTTGGGACAGTACTTCCCCACCGCCAGATGAGCCTAGCCCAACTTTAATTAAAGTTCAAAGACACGAGAAAGGCTGGAAAAATGAGTGAACAGCAAAAAAAGAACTTGACCATAAAAAGCTACTGTGGTGGCAGGGAAGACCAAGACATAAACTCAGAAGACAATAACAGTGTGAAAACAGTGCTGAGCAAAGCCTCAAAGAAAAGTGCTAATTGGGCTCAAAACAAGAATTCCTGGAAATGTTAAAGAAAGAGATAAGCATGGTGGAGGAAAAATTGGGAAAAGAAATGAGAGTGATGCAAGAAAATTATTAGAAGAGAATTAAAAGCTTGGTCAAAGAGGCACAAAAATATTAAAGAAAATAATACCTTAATAAACAGAATTGGCCAAATGGCAAAAGAGGCACAAAAATTGAGTGAGGAGAACTCCTTATAAAGCGGAATAGGTCAAGTGTAAAAAGAGGTAGAAAAATTTAATGAAGAAAAAATTCCTTCCAAATTAGAATTGGGTAGTGGAAGCTAATAACTCCATGGGACATCAAGAAACAATAAAACAAAGCCAAACAAATGAAAAAGTAGAAGAAAATTGAAATATCTCATTGGAAAAACAAGTGACCTGGAAAATAGATTGAGGAGAGATAATTTAAGAATTTTTGACTACCTGAAAGCCATGATCAAAAAAAGAACCAGAACATCATATTTCAAGAAATTATAAAGGAAAACTGCCCTGATATCTTATCAGTACAGTGTTCCAAGACAATTCCAAAACCACATTTCAATCTGCACTCAGAGCTCTTCAGTTCTCTCGCTGGGGCGGGGGGGCGGGGGGAGTGGGGGGGTGGGGAAGAGCATTTTCATCGTGGAATGATAAGGTGGTGAATTGAATTTCAGTGAGGCAGGGCTGTGCAAAGTCACCAGCTTCACTCTCTCCTCCAGAGTCATCGGAGTCCAGTGGCAAGGTATAGGTCAGGACGACTGGTGATGGTCCCAGGTCCAGCAGGAGACCCTGACTTTTTTAAGCCAAGGTCTTTCCCAGGTCTTAGTTTGTCTGAGGCAACACCTATTCAGTGATTTAAGGCTAAGTAAGAACTGAGGCAAAAGATAGCCTAGTTTGCCTTCACAAAAGAATTAATCTGGGAGGGAAGCCCCTCAGAGCTTCTGGCCAGAACAGAAACAGTTGCTATTTACACTCTCAGTGGGCCATCTAAACCCAAATGATGAGCAGGTGAGGCTGGGGCTGGGGCCTGTTACTGGCCAGGGTTTAAGGCATAGTTGAGTAACTCCATTTGAATCCCAACGGGCTTTATCAAAGCCTGGTTTGCCAGAGCTCTGTTTTCAGGAAAGTAAATAAAACCTACATGAGACGAAAGAATGAATTGTTCCAGTTTTTCAGAAAAAACAAAATAAAGCAAAACAATGATAGAATAAATAAGTAGGGAAGAAAAAAATCTAGCCCCTAAACCCAGGATATCTTGCAAAGTATAAAATGCTTATTGACTGGCTTACTGGCTGACCAACAGTTTCCCAGGAGGTTCCTTAGCCAGATGTGTAGAAGCATCAGTTCTATAGGATCACAGATTTAGAGCTGGAAGGAGTTTTCAAGATTTTCTGGTCATGTCTTGTCATTTTACAGAAGAGGAAACTGAGGCCCAGAATTGGGAAGAGACTTGCTCAGAGTCTCACATCTCACTAGTAACAGAGCCATCATTTGAACTCAGGACCTGTGCCTTAAGCGCAGTGCTTGTCCTGCTTTTTATCCATGATCCCTTGTGTGCGTGTGCGTGTACGTGTGAGCTCGTGGGCTGGCGTCTCCCTGCCTCTTCTCTTCCTGTGCGCTCTGTCCTGTGCTCTGCTCTTCCCCAGATGGTCTGGCTGTGGGGTGGGTGGCCTCCTCCTACACTGCTCATGTTGGGGGGGCCGGGGCAGTATCCAGCTCGCCCATCTGAAGTCCCTCCCTCTTGCTGCCCCGCTGGCCTCCTCTGTTACAGGCCATTGACTTGTTACTTTAAATGCCGCTAAGTGAATCAGAACTGAACAGTGTGAGATGTTTAACCTGTTGCATTCTTGCTACCTTCATCACCCTGCCTTGATTCATCACCTTTTCCTTTCTTTTTCAGATAAAGAGTCCTTCTATCCACTGATAGATGTCAGTTGGTGGGCTGGCAACGCTGTGACCTTGGCTCGCTGCTCGGGGGCTTTGACCGTCTCCTCTGTGAAAACCCTGAAAAATTTGCTGGGGAAGTCCTGTGAATGGTTTGAACCCTCCCCTCAGGTCACCGCTGCTCACGATGGAGGATTTTTGAGCTTGGAGGTAATTTTGTGCCTTCCAGGAGAACCAGCCTGTAGGCGAGTTATGATTTCATGGTAGTCTGAAGAAGTCTGTCTTCATGTCACCTTGTTGAGTCAGTTACGGAACACTTACAGAGCCCATCCTGCGTGCCAGGCTCCGCACTGAGCTCTGGGGACGTAAGAAAGGCAAAATTCAGCCCCTGCCCTCAAGGAGCTTACAGTCTGATGGGGGAGAGATGCGAGCAGCAACAAACCAGATCTCCAGGACAGTGGGGAGCCACCTCAGAGGGGGGCACTGAGACTGAGGAGGTCTGGGGAAGGCTTCCGGCCAGACTGGGCCTTGAGCTGAGTAGAGAAGGAAGCCAGGGAGGTCGCTAGCTGGAGTGGAGGAGGGGAGTGGCGCAGGCACGGGGCAGCCAGAGAAAATGTGGGGCTGAGAGATGGAGGGGCTTGTTTGTGGGACAGCCAGGAGGCCTGCGTCGCTGTCACGGGAGTGAAGAGTACATGCAGGGGAAGGGGTAGGAAGGCTGGAGAGGTAGGAGGGCACAGGTTAGGAAGGGCTTTGAAGGCCAAGCAGTGTTTTGTCTCTGCTCCCAGAGGTCATAGAACGTCGCTGCAGTCTATTGAGCTAGGTGTGTGTGTGTGTTCATGTGTGTGTGCGCATGTGTGTATATTTGTGTGTGTGTGTATGTGTGTATGTGTGTATGTGCATGGGCATGTGCATGGGTGTGAGACATGATCAGACCTGTGCTTTAGGGAATCTCTGGTGGTTGCATGCAGCATGGACTGGAGTAGGGGGAGATCCGAGGCAGGCGGACCCCCCAGCAGCGATTGCAGTAGTCTGCGTGTGAGGTGATGAGGGTGTGCACCAGGGAGGGCGCAGGGTCCGGGGAGAGAAGGGGGTGCACCTGAAAGACGCTGCAGAGGTGAAGGCAGCAGGCCTGGGCACCAGCTTGGGTGTGGTGGTGGGGGCAGTGAGAGGGAGTGGGGAATCCAGGATGACCCTTGGCCTGGGAGCCCTGCACACCAGTTGAGCCGTCGCCTGGGCGGCCGTGGTCAGACTCTCTTATTTAGCAGAAGCCAGTCTTTGGAGTCATGTTTTGTGACTGAGAAAAACCCTCCTGAGAGCTGGATGAAGGCCATTGGTGTGGGTTCTGTGTGAACATTTGTTCTTTCCCCGAGGTGATAGAGCTTCTCCTGCCCTGTCTGATGCAGGGTGCCGTGTGGGGTTCAGGCCAAAGGTGTCCAGTCATCAGTGTCCTCCCAGGGGCTATTCTGACTGCTTCAGGAGTTTGCTCTTAAATAGAACATTTCTTTGCCATTATTTTCACTGATTCAGTGCTTGGAAGTTTCTCTTGGCCACTTAAAATTCCAGTGTTAGAACCTTTACAGACTCAGGTCCTTCAGCTGTTTTCATGTCAATGGAAAATGACAACTGTTTGCTTTGCTAAAGATATTCTTAAGAGAGCTGTGGCTTCCCGTCAGAGCCCGTCTGTCCTCTGGAATCCTAGTTATCTTTGACAGCCAGGCCTCTCTGTCGCTTCTGTGGGAGAGCTGCCCCACGTTTTTGAGAAAGAGAGAAGGGAAGAGTGAGGTATCTCCTTAAAGCCCATGACTACTCTCCTTCTTTTGTCCCAGATTTTTAAGGACACAGTCCTTGGGCCGCCCTTCCTGGACGGGAAGAAGGCAGGGATTTGTATTCACGTGCTGAAAAGCTGCGCCTTGTGAGACCATCCGCCGTCTTAGACCCTTAGCATGGCTCAGGATAGCTTGCTTACCAAGTAGTCTGGAATGGAAGCGATGTTGACAGTGGACTTCCTCCACTGCCTCTGATGGACAGGGTCAGGTTCCAGCCCGTAGGTCTGAGCCAGAGATGAGCCTTTCTCAGTCTTAAAGCAGGGAATGAACGCGAAGCTGCCCCAAAGGCATGTTGTTCAAACCCATTTCAGTTTTGGAGCCTCCGCTCATCTGCTGATGTGCCCGACGCCCGTGAACTGTGCCTTCAGGATTGGATGCCTTCCTTAGTCATAGCGATATAGCCTGTTGGGCAAGATCGAGCCTGAAGCAAACATCCCTGATGTGCTTTTCTGTCCTTAGTTCTTGAGGGAGATGTGACACGAGGAGGGATAGAGAGCAGGCTTTGAAGCCAGGGAGCCCTGGGCCGACGTCCTCCCTCTGCCTGGGGCAGCAGGCCTTGGCAGCAGCTTGGATGTGAGGGGGAGGGCAGTGAGAGGGAGTGGGGGGTCCAGGATGACCCCTGGAGGCCTCCCTGAGACTCTAAGCTGCAGAAAAGGAGCCAATCTCGGTTGGGAGAGGGCATTCCCTCCCCTGGGAGTTCTCTCTGTGCCCCTGTCCTGGGAAAGGGGAGCTCAGGTAGTCACTGTTTGTGTCTGCGCTTTCCCCGCAGTGTGAGATAAGGCTGGCTCCAAAGAGATCCCGTTTGGACACCCGGCCAGAGGAGGAAGAGGACGGAGACGAGGACTCCGACTCAGAGGATGAAATGTCTGCCAAGGCTCGGTACTTCGGCTATGTCAAGCAAGGCCTCTACTTTGTGACCGAGATGGAGCGCTTTGCTCCACCCCGAAAGCGCCCTCGGACCGTCACCAAGAACTACCGCCTGGTGAGCCTGAGGTCCACCACTCCCGAGGAGCTCTACCAGCGCAAGGTGAGTGTGGCCTGGCTTGGGGGTCCTGGGGGCCCTGGGGGAGGCTGGCCCGGCCCTGGG